ACTGGAAGGAAATTATCGAATTCAGTTTGCAAACACATAGCTTTTCCTTCTCACCCTCCAAGGGACAAAAGTTCGAGGGTTATAGGTCGTAAAGTCAATTATAAGGTCACGGCATATGACTAAATTAGCGTAAAATGTTCTGTCTGTGTCGTGTTAAAACCGAAGTTTTCTAATCTGCGGAACACTCAATAAGACTTTCAATGACGGCCGTAATCAGATCGTGAAAATGAGGATAAACGAACGAGGAACTGTCAATAGAGCTTGCGACGATTTCTTGTAACCCGAGGAAAATTCACAGAGGTAATGGATTGATAACAATGCACTCGATAAAGTTTGAAATACCTTACACTTTCATTATCATTTATACAAAAGATATAAAAAAGGTGGTTGAAATTATTCATTGAAAATTCTGTAACTGTGCTCATTCGTGAATCATCAATTATTTTTGTAATACCATAATTGCTATTCACTATGTTTTAACATCATGCAATTAAAAAATTTGACATACTATATAATTTTAGTAGCATAATGATATGTAACATAATTACATACTTTTAGCAAAGCACAGTAAAACATATTTACTGTGCTCATCGGTGAAATTACTAGTTGAGTTTTCTGCTACTTTATTTTCATATTTTTTACATCAAAATTTTATGATTTTGTTATTTGAAATTTAATATATAAAATAAAATATACTGAAAAAAACGAATGAATAGACAGCTGGATTATCGAACAAATAATTGGGGTGATGGCCAAAATAATCCTCTAGTTCAATAGTAGATTGGATTGCATGTGTAACAAATTTTAGAATTTACATCATAAGTACTGGTAATAACATTAACTATTGTACATACATTTTGAATATGCATTAGATAAATAGCATAAATATACTATCATTGGCAACTTTTGATGAATCTTAACAACACACCCAAGTGCATTTCAAAGGTGGGCTTCATGAAATTGACCAATATTTTAAATTTTAATTTCACAGTTCAACAAAAAGTCTCAATTCTTCAAAATTGAGAGCAATTGACATTATTTTTTACTGGAGTTCTAGTAATAGTATTTACGATTACAGATCCGGAGCTTAAATGAACAAAATTAATAAATAGTAACTACAATAAACGAAAAATAGTTACATTTTCATCAAAGCCATAGGTTGCACTTGAATGCTTACAATTTTTAAACTATTTGAGGTGTTTTTTCTAATTTTTCTCGTGATAGTTGCGATCATACACTACCACCCTGTATCGGTTTGACGTTGAATTCTGGGTCACCCTGTACATTACAAATTTAAATTATAATTTCTAATTCCCCAAAATGTGTACTAAGATAAAACACGCAGATAATAAAAATCGATCTCCGCGGAACGAAAGCGTCACGGTAAAGAGATTTTTGTACAAAATGGTTCTTTTCATGATTTACGGTCTTTTCTGATTTTATAACTCGCAGGCTGACCTCGATAAAATAATAATGGAGCTTCAGATCACAAGGAAAGTTCGCGGGGTAAGTGGTTATTATATACTGAAATTTACGCAAAATAACAGGAAGTGTATACCTTCAGATAAGTGAAAATGGCCATAAAATGAAAAGTGATCGAGGTGCTTATCCATGGGGTCTATAAAAAATGTATCTTAACGCAGTCGCACCTCGGTGTTATGAGTGCAGGTGTTTGTAGGGAACAAAATCGGAAGAAGAAAAAAAAAAGATTTTGAAGAGATTCTTCTTAATGTTGAAAAATACGGGGTGTACCAGAACTCAATATCAAGCCAAAAAATTAAAAAATATTATACATGAGTTCTAAAGTTATGAGCTTTTAAGTGCAATCAGAGCTTTGATGCCAAAATTTTTCGGTTCTTGTGGTTATTTATCATCTCGTTTCGGCTTGCCGGTGAGTTCTGGTACACCCTGTATATTATATTTCGGAGTTGCATAAAGTTATAATGATCCTATTCAATTACATTTTATCTACTTTCCGTGAAAGCTGATCACAAACAATATCGTCAGTACATCAATATGTACATAATTATAAACAAACGACGAATAAATTTTTTTTAATTGAGCATTGAGCTTAATTGCAGTTCGTTATGTTTCATTGTATTTGTTCGTCGGAAACAATATTTCCACAATTAAATATTCCACTTTTTTCTACTAATAATCATAAGCATGACAAAAACACATAACCGAATTTCATGAATTCCACTGTTAACTTAGAATTTTGTTCGACGACTATTGAATAAAATAATTGGTATCGCTTGTTGTAGATTATTAACACGTAAAATCTTCATGAATGAATACGTAATGAGCAAAAGGCGATGAGGTATTAATAATTCATAAAATACAGCTGACAGCTCAGATTTATAAGATAACAAACGACATTAATCAAACATTTTTGTGCTATTAATTATTCGTATGCGAAGCGTCGTATTCAAGATGAAGATAAGTATGTCGAATGGAAATAACATAGTGTTCTGTAATATATTGAGGGCAAAATTCACGCACACTTCGATATATTCATATAGAAATAGAAAATAAAGACAGAAATGCTCCAATAGTTTTTCGCATTTGGAAATCGCTCAATATTTGAAGTACAATGCATTTTTGTCTGTTTCCTAAATTATATTTTATAACACATCGATTACAAATTAATATTAAGTCTTTTTTCATATCAGGGTGTCCCAGAAATCAATATCAAGGCAGAGCGGGGTGATATTATTGTCCGTAAATGCCCTGGAAATAAAAAATATTCTCATGCTGTTTGAAAATTATGAGCTTTCAAGTGCAACCTAGAGTTTTCGTGAAATGTGACTGTTACTTGGTCATTTTATGAAAAAAAACCTTAAAATAATACGATAAAGGCTATCGCATTTTGCTCACTATTAGTTCAAAGTTTTGCTCCTAGAGCAAAAGCTTTTGAACTGATAGTGAGCAAAATGC